CCTAGGAGGAGTTCGTTAAAGTACGAAGTGTGTAAATCATCCAAAATTTGACGTAAAATTCAAAATGGCCGACTTCCTGTTGGTTTAGGCTATGGCTCCAAGAGACTTTTTTGTGCGTCTGGACAAGATACACGTACCACAGAAAATTCGTGCACGTAGGTGAAACGTGCGGCGGGGGCTGCTTCGTTAAAGTCACTTCCTGTTGCCAGCAGGTGGCGCTATGACTGTGGGTGAATATCAGCATGTACATGTGTTCAGGGCGGGACTCTCATCCTACATGTACAGTTTGGTCCAGATGTGAGCATGTACACTGAAGTTACGACAACTTCCGTGTCATGGCGAAGAGTTGATCTTTGACGCCACGCCACGGACACGCCCATTGACGAAAACTTGCAAATAGCACAACTTTTCATCTTCAATGCCTTTAGAAGGCACAGCAGAAATTTGAGGTCGGTCGGACTAAATCCCTAGGAGGAGTTCGTTAAAGTACGAAGTGTGTAAATCATCCAAAAATGGCCGTAAAATTCAAAATGGCCGACTTCCTGTTGACTTTAGGCTATGGGTTCTTGAGGCTTTTTTGTGCGTCTTGATATGATACATGTCCCCAGAAAATTTCGTACATGTAGGTTGAACGTGAACGAGGGGCTAATTTTTTCCAATTTTCTAGGTGGCGCTAGCGAGTCATTTTGCAACGCCCATGTGCGAAACTTGTAGAATACGAAATTTTTCACCGGTTCTGACACGTTTGCAAATTTTGGTGAGTTTTCGAGAATGTTTAGGCCATGTCAGTTGAGCCTACTTTGCAGAAAAAAAAAAAAAAAAAATAAAAAAAAAATAATAATCCGAGCAAATTCAATAGGGACCTCACACGGTCGTGCTCGGGCCCTAATTAAAGCTGCAAGCAGCGTTGGGCGGGCCCTCGCACTTGTAGCGCGTCCGGGTGTGAGCCGGCCGAGTTGCACATTCTGGAGCTCTGCCGGTGCGGCTGTGAATTTGCTACGCGGTTCCGACGCCGCATGAAGGTGCTATATGTCACTTCCTGTGTCTCCTATGTGGAGCTACATAGCACTTGCCGCTATGAATATAAATCGGTATTGGTGTGTAGATGTCTGCGGGGTGGGACAGTTATCAAGCACGTAAAGTTTGTTTCAGATGTGAGCATGTACACTGAACAACAATGTACCCAAACAATAAAATAAATTCCTTTTATATTTCTCTGCCTTGTTGTTTATGTGTACATACAGAGGAAGAATGTGAGAACAGCACACATTTCATCATTACTGTGTGTTAGAGCATGGGAGAACAGTGGATACTTTTAATACAGCCCACACCCCTAATACTGTGTAACTATAACAAGTAGAGAACTGAAGAAAAAGATGCGCATAGCTTGATCATATTGTGTAATGAATGAAAATAAATAGGCCTACTAGGCTCCTCTCTACTTTGACATTTAAGATTAGCTTGTTTGATCCACCTTCATACACATGTGACATTACTGTACAACTTGAGAAAGGTGAGTTGTTTTCTGCTCCAGTGTCGGGTCGGAAATAAGGACCGGCCGGGCCAGTAAAAGACCTGGTCCCTACCCTAACCAACGTAATAAACTCAATAAAATTACTCTATTAGATTTCTTCTTTAGTCAAAAGACGGCGTAGTCAAAAACTTCACTGGAGACGGTCAAGAGTCGGTGCAAAAGAGTTTATTCCAATAAAGGACAGATAAACCCGAGCAACATCCCTGCAGGTCTCAGGATGGAACCGAGTTGGTGGTCAGCGAACATCGCCTTATATTCACCTTAAGCTCCACCTTGTCCCTCCCTTCAGGTGGGCGTTACATCTTAACTCCTCCTTATCTCCTCCTTCTAGGTGGGCGTTACTCCTTAACTCCACCTATGGTGTTCGCTGACCATTCCTCCCCTTTGGTGAATTTCTTATCCTCTACTGCCATCTAGTGGCCTTTTTCTTGTACTGTTTTACCAAATTAACCCTTTCATTAATGTTACAATTTCCACTTTTTAACTATTATTACATGTAATTATTGTTACCATTTATCTCTCTTTATATTTTTTACATTACTGGATTAGAAATCCACCAATATGTTTCAACTTCAGTCCCACTGTATTTTTTAAAGTTATACAGGCATAGTTTGACACCATTAAAACTTAAACACTTACAATCGTATTTTTTAAAAGAATTGATAAGGAATAACATATTTCATACATGTATAACGTGATTCAATGAACAATTACATGATTTAGCAATGCCAACCATGAGAGTGCTTTGTCTCATACAAGTTAACTTTCAGCAGCGCAGAGCTTGGTTGCATGCAGTACCTAGCCGTACCAGTTGCCATAAATCATAACATGTCATGATCTCATTCTTGGCTTCAGTTCGCGATGATCTCAGCCCTGGCGTACGTGACTTTCTGCATGTGCCTTGCTTCTAATGAGTGGGTTACGGTTGGCTAGGTTTTGCCTGCGCGGCCTGAGCAGCTTCTCTGCTCATGTAGGCACATTAAAAAGCACACGTTCACAGAGAATAAGAATAATATATGATAAACACACAGCGTATAAGAATAAAATATGAGTTTGAACACACTCATTAAACACTCAGTAGTTAAACACTCAGTAGTTAAACTTTACACTATAAAATAACACTTTAAATGATGACGATGTAGACCACCATTGCTCTAGTAATTAATGATAACAATTTAGGCTATAATGCTCCAAAATAATTCACAACACTCCCTCCTCTGAGGCTGTAAAGCCTCACACTTCATACACCAACGCTGTGACCACTGAAAATAGGCGGCCTATTGTATTTGCATATGAAACCTATTTCTCAGACTTGTAGACCTTCAAGAAAATACCCAAATTAGTGTTTACACGTTGTGAAATAATCAATAATCATGTGGTGGGATGTTCCTGTTTCTAACACATTTGAGCAAGTTATAATGACAAGGATTTCCATTACTCCTCTCTCCTCATTACCCTTTAAATGAGTTTCCCTTTAAATGAGCTTAACATATTAAACTACCTATACGTGCTATAATATAGTGAGATATACCTTGTAAATGGTTTACACTCGTGAAACAAATAATATCTTATGCAGTGAGCTGTTCTTTTCTTATATACTTTAGCAAGCTAACAATTATAACAACACCTAATGTGTTGAAAGGCACACATCATCAAAACAATCACATGGTGCATAGTGAACTTTCCAGACATAAGAGTGTTTCAACAATCATTCATGTGACACTTCAGAATGGTGCAAAATGTCTGATAAACATGTATGATGTCTATTTTGAAAGTTTAGTCCGTGGTACTGTGGAACTCTTTTTTGGCACTCAGGTTTCTTGGGGAACAGACTGGGTACCAATTTGAGGGCGCTCAGTCGTTTGTAGTTTCAGTCTTGTTCTTCCTTTTGCTGGTTCACTTGGACTCATAGCTGGTGATAGTCAAAGTCGTCTCTGTGGTGATGCAGGTCGCGCTTGATCTTGCCTGCTGCTGCGTCTGCCTCCTCTGGTCTTTGACTGGCTGTGAAGATTATTAAGCTTGCTTGCAACTGTATCTTACTATTACCAATAAGTGAGCTTTATCCTACTGTTTGTAGTTTGGAGACTTTAACTATTGTTTCTATCTGTCTAATTTTTTCTAGATATCCTAGATATTATATTTGCTTGCAACCTGCTAACATCCTGTATATCTGTGTATTGAATTACATTGCTATTGGATGTACAAATAGCAAATCTTGAAACACTCCATTATTCATTAGTGCACTACAATTCTTCCATACTTAAACTAGTTTACTAATACTACCTACAAAACAGAAAGAAAACATAGATTAACACAGATGTTCAACAAAAACAGAAAGAAAACATAAATTAACTGTTCAGCATCACACATGTGTCTCAGGTTATCATTACAGTTGCTTGGTTGTTCCTGTGGAATACATGACAAAGGTCATCATGATTTAAGACTCACAATCATCAATTTAAGCATGCAGTAGCAATGTGCTGCTGAAATTGCTTTATAAGGCTTCAATGAGGCTTCTCCTTTCGGCCTCTTTAAAATCAAGCCTGAAAGGTTGCCTGTCATTGTATTGCTACATCGAGGAGCTCTGCGCTGGCTGTTCCTCTGCACAAATCCAGAGCAGACAGTGATATCTAACAATTATAATATAAAAATAATCCCACTAGATTCCCTTTTTCTAAAAACTCTGTTTAAAAACACAAGGAATGCCTGATGTTCTGATCCCTTTTTGCTGAAATTTAGTAACAGGTGGCTGCTGGAGGAGAGCAGGACACCAAAGTTATTAACTCAGTATATTTGTGTTAATGAATCAATTATTAATGACATATCTTGCTATTTTATAGATCCTGAGCTAACCTTATTCTTATTCCTAGTCTATTTTGGATTTAAAATCAGTCTCTATTTTCTTTTTTCTTCCCCTATCTTTCTATTTTTTCTTCTCCTACAAATTATCAACACTCCTACTCCCAAACTCTTTGAGGTCAGTCTTCAAACAGTTCTTTTTCAGCAGATGTTGCAGTTTTCAAGGCCTCTGACAGTCTGACCATTTGTAAGTTGGTCATGGTGAGACAGAGAGCTCTTCCTTGGTGATGTCTCTGTCAGCACTCGGTCACATGTGAGAGCATTTTGGCTGAAGTTCATTTTCACAGTGAAGCCTTCTTGACCTTTTAAACTTTGTGCTGTTAGGTTCACAGTCTTTAAGGTGGTGTTGTCCTCTTTATGATTCGACTGTAGATGGTAGATGTGGTCTGACTCGCTATGTCCTCAGCGTTGGGAAGATGCTGACGTCAGTGGAGGTGGGCTTGGGCCTGTGATGCATCAGGTTGGCACGCCTCTCTGTGGAACGCCTCCTGTATCACTGTTCGTTTGTGGCCCTCCCTTTCTTCCTCACAGTCAGATTCTGCTGTGTCCATTTTGAAGCTGCTCTCTCGCCTTCTTCATGAAACTTCAGAGCTGCCATCTTGTCCACTGTAGCTCTGTCTCGCTGTCGTCATGTCTCATGGTTTGTTGTGCTCTGCAGGTATCTTGGTCTGTAGGCAGATCTTTTGTCTTTCTGAGATCTGTGCTATGACGAACTTTTCACTTTGTTTGGGAGTTGTTATTCTTTCTATTCATATCTAGCTCTCGTCTCCTCCCTATCTAATATAGCCTCTCTTTTTCCATCTCTCCTTTATATCTGAACTCAACCCTTTAAAGACCCTAATTCTTTTCTTCTTCTTCTGCCTGTACTGGCCCTTGACTGCACTTACTTATATCTTTCTTCCACTTGCTCTATACGTTTCTTCATCTGGGGGTATATCTATTTAGACCTTATCTAACAGGATGGGGTCTTTCATTATTCTGTCTCTGTGACTACTTTTCCTTCACTAAAGGCTATATAGTATGTCAATATTATCTAACTGTTGGTCAAACTGTTTCTCCATATTTTCCCTTCATTCTAAGCTTTCTCTATCTCTTATCTGACGTCTTTTATTTTATCTTTAACTACTTAGTTTTGCTGTTACCACATATGTTGTTGCCACAGCTCCCTCCTTTGACCACCTTTGCAGCTAATATTTCTTTTTTCTGCTCTTTACCATTTAATTTCACCTGCTGTGTGCCTCCCAGGACAGCCATCGCACACTCACTGCGAGCAAACACTTACTCTCTGGAAACTTTGGAATTTGGACGGCCTTCATGCCTCGAAAAGGAAAAAGACAGTTAATTGTAAAGCCACACAACCAAGAAACTAGAATGAAACAATTCATTGAAAGAAACTCAGGCAGCTCCCCTTTGTTTTTATATCAAAGAGCTATTCAACTGAAAAATCATCAAAGTAGTGTTTACTAAAAATAACTAACTTCAGTGAAACTAACAACTATTAAAATATCAAATTCATTTTCTCACATCTAATACAAAATTGATGGCTCTCAATCCCTTCTCTAACTTAAATCCTTCATAGATAACACCTCACATTGCTGCCTATCAATCTGTACCTCTATGTTCCAATAAATTGCAAACTTTATCAGATGTCATCATTTTTCTAGTTTTGTTCCTTCTCCTCGACCAAAAAGTGTTTCAGCCTGTTATTCTGAACTAAATTTCCTTTATTATCATAATACTTCAGTAGGCTGTTTCAACTACACTTTTCCTTTCTGTATCCAGCAGTCATTGCCATTCTTTTACTAATCTGCTCACTGTCAAGCTGTTATTGGTTCAAAAAACTTTTATAACTTCTGTTATTATTAACTAATGAGTAACTTGCTATAATGTGCTGTTGTTATCCTAGAAAGGTGCAACAGATCACAAAACTCTCATAACTTTTGGTTTAGGGCTGAACTGCTCTCTTTTTCTCTCTCTCAGTCTGCTGTCCTCCCCCACATGGACACACTCACACTCACTCACACAGACACAGACACAGCTGCACCTCAGCTCCTGCTCTGTGCCTCTCTGTTAGCGTGAGCAAACTCCTTTTTTTCTCTTTTCTCTTCCAATCTCCATTATTCGGGCGTGGACTGCCACTTCAGAACTTTATTTTGCACATAGCTTTATCACGATTCAATCTGAGACTGCATCAAAGCCGTCTTTTACACTATACTAGTCCACATTCACTATTTCATCAATATATATCATATATTATTACTTTATAACTCCTTCCATCAACTTCTTATACTTATTTATATCACCATATCAACTCTATTCATCTGTTATCCTTAAGCTTTATGTTAGTTTAATATTAGATCAGTTATTCAACTGTCATTATTTTATACTTTTTATCTAATGGTCTTAAACATGAGGCTTCAAGACTCAAACTATTAGTATATTATTTTAGGCCTTGGTAACATTTATATGCACTTTTTCTTAACACACAGCTATCAACTATTTTCAGCAATATTTACATGCATGTACGTCTTCTGACTCCTATTCCTGCCGGCTTCTGACTTTATGTACATTACCTAGGCTTTCAGCTGAATAGTCTGATCACTTCCTCAACACAGACTTAATTTACACTGCCTAGGTTTATTTCCAAATTAATTAGCCTGATTCACTTCCTCAACACAGACTTAATTTACACTGCCTAGGTTTATTCCAAATTGGTGGACCTGATTCACTTCCTCAACACAGGCCCAATTTACACATAAATATAGCCTCTCAATTCACTTCCTCAACATGAGGGCTTAGACAGAAATGATTCACTTCCTCAACACAAAATCTGTCTTTATAAATCGCTACTCAATTCACTTCCTCAACATGAGCGCGTAACACTTCTTTAAGCACGCTTTATTCTCCTATCCTGCCGCAGTCCTATTTAGGCTCCTAGCGGTAACGTGCTATAGTACATCCGCCCGTTCAGTCCGAACCTACCATCGAAGAGCCCCAACACTCAGCTGAAATCCTGCGATATAAGTCCGCGGTAGCCACGTGATGACTATTTATTAGCCACTTGCCCATGTCAGCCCGACCTAGTGAGTGAAGCACCCCAGCACTCAGCTGTGATTCTGCACTCTCCAAGCCAGCGGTATCCGCAATGCTTAAATTCTTATCTCTTCATCAGCTCATTACGCCTATGCAGTCCTGTTCTGATGGGATCGAAGCTCCCCGACACTAAGTCGAAGCGTTGCGATTCTTAAAAAACAGCGGTATTCACGATAATGGCTTTAAATTCTTATCTCTTCATCAGCTCACCACGCCTATGCAGTCCTGTTCTGATTGGATCGAAGCTCCCCGACATTAAGTCGAAGCGCTGCGATTCTTAAAAACAGCGGTATTCACGATGATGGCTGGAAAACACTTATTTTACTTACCCTTAAAAGCAAACAATTAAACACAAAAAGCGCATCTATTCTACTAGCATTACACACTTTGACATAGACATATTCCGCACCATGGTTCACACACACACACATGCAAATTTAGCTGCTATTGCATTTTGCCTGCATTTAGATTTGCACCGACTCTTACCCTCCAGCGTTACTTTCTTTCTTTATTTAGTTTCAATTCACCATTAAAATCCAAATTTCGTCTTTTAGTAAAATATTTTATACTTAATTTACTGCTTTTTGCACTCAAAATTTATTCTAGGTTCAAGATTGAGGAGACTTTAAGATTCACACCTGGGCGGAAAATCCCGTATTCAGACACAGTTAAAATGCAGAATTTTGGTTAAACAGGTATTCTGCTTACCTTTTCTATGTGGCCACGTGTCTCAGATACAGGCTGTCCGTCCCGGTCAGAAACTCTCGGCCTCTGGACTCAATCTCCTGGCTGGCCTCGCCAATTGTCGGGTCGGAAATAAGGACCGGCCGGGCCAGTAAAAGACCTGGTCCCTACCCTAACCAACGTAATAAACTCAATAAAATTACTCTATTAGATTTCTTCTTTAGTCAAAAGACGGCGTAGTCAAAAACTTCACTGGAGACGGTCAAGAGTCGGTGCAAAAGAGTTTATTCCAATAAAGGACAGATAAACCCGAGCAACATCCCTGCAGGTCTCAGGATGGAACCGAGTTGGTGGTCAGCGAACATCGCCTTATATTCACCTTAAGCTCCACCTTGTCCCTCCCTTCAGGTGGGCGTTACATCTTAACTCCTCCTTATCTCCTCCTTCTAGGTGGGCGTTACTCCTTAACTCCACCTATGGTGTTCGCTGACCATTCCTCCCCTTTGGTGGATTTCTTATCCTCTACTGCCATCTAGTGGCCTTTTTCTTGTACTGTTTTACCAAATTAACCCTTTCATTAATGTTACAATTTCCACTTTTTAACTATTATTACATGTAATTATTGTTACCATTTATCTCTCTTTATATTTTTTTACATTACTGGATTAGAAATCCACCAATATGTTTCAACTTCAGTCCCACTGTATTTTTTAAAGTTATACAGGCATAGTTTGACACCATTAAAACTTAAACACTTACAATCGTATTTTTTAAAAGAATTGATAAGGAATAACATATTTCATACATGTATAACGTGATTCAATGAACAATTACATGATTTAGCAATGCCAACCATGAGAGTGCTTTGTCTCATACAAGTTAACTTTCAGCAGCGCAGAGCTTGGTTGCATGCAGTACCTAGCCGTACCAGTTGCCATAAATCATAACATGTCATGATCTCATTCTTGGCTTCAGTTCGCGATGATCTCAGCCCTGGCGTACGTGACTTTCTGCATGTGCCTTGCTTCTAATGAGTGGGTTACGGTTGGCTAGGTTTTGCCTGCGCGGCCTGAGCAGCTTCTCTGCTCATGTAGGCACATTAAAAAGCACACGTTCACAGAGAATAAGAATAATATATGATAAACACACAGCGTATAAGAATAAAATATGAGTTTGAACACACTCATTAAACACTCAGTAGTTAAACACTCAGTAGTTAAACTTTACACTATAAAATAACACTTTAAATGATGACGATGTAGACCACCATTGCTCTAGTAATTAATGATAACAATTTAGGCTATAATGCTCCAAAATAATTCACAACACCAGCCTGCCTAAAAGAAAAGCCTTTTTGGGATTAAATGGACTTCATTAGCTGCTGCAGTGCAGGATGAACTCAGAACAGACCCATTTCTCACCTTATTATTCTAAATCATGCAACGAAGAAGAAGAAATGCATAATAAATCCTGGGACAAAATCTGTCCACAAATACTGTACAGCATGTAGTCTAATGAACAAGACTTGTGTTATAGCTGACTTAGGCAGTGAAATGTTTAATTTTTTTAATTCATGTGGTCATAGTTGTCCACAACTCAAATCAGAATATAAGAAGAAATGTTTTATACCACCTCAAGAAGGCTTCCTATCAGAAAGGTAGGAAGGTATTTCAAATGTACAACTGCAGTACTTAAATCTAAGTAAAGTAATTTCCCTGACATTACTGTGTTACGCATGTAACAGGTTTTATACTTCCTGTGAGTATAATCCAATCAATCTTATTTTCATACTGTATATCCGTTGTGTAATTTGATAAATTGTGTTGTATGTGGTGCTCGCATCGGGTACTACTGAGACTTCATTGCCCTCTTCAGAGAAGACTCTGACTGCAACATGCGTCTTTGTAAAGAGAGAAACAGACAGAAAAAGTCTCTAACTCTGCCTGTCAGCTCGCTCTGCTCCGTTAAAACTGAATTTACCAATTGAATACGAGTGCACTCCAGATTTAGCTGCAGCCAGCTGACCGTGTGCTTCTCTCTATACCGCAGTTCTGTGTCCATGCATGCAGCAAACTGAAAGCACTGTCGGAGCGTCTACGTGAAAAGAGAAGGAAGACATTGCTGGTAGTATTGTCTTCAGAGTTGTTAAACACCTCAGCGCACTGAAGGAAGCCATCTGACTGTGTGAGGGGCAAGATCGTTGATGTCTGCAGGCAGAGTAGGAGCTCTCCTGTCTGACTGGTCCACCAATAGCAGAGAAGATGACCCCTTGAGACACAGCCCCTCCTCATTTGCATAATGAGGCAGAAATGCATACAAAATTAAAAAAAGACAGGCAGAAATAAATACCATGGGTGAAAATAAATAAGGTAAATAAATACAAAGGAAGAATAAAACAGACAAAAATATTAAAACACACACATAAATAAATACATTAAAAAAATTAGTAATAAATAAAGTTGAATAAACAAATAAGGTAATTATAACAAAGGTGAATAGTAATATATATAATAATAATAATATATACATTTATGTCTCCTTGTATAATTTAATTACTACCTACATTTATTTATTTACTTTATTTTTTTGTGTATTTAATTGGATGCTTATTTATTTATTGAGCATTTATTTATTTCTGTATTTATTTCTGACTGTGTCAGGATCGGTCCTCCATAGTGGGGTGGGAGAGTTATCAAGCACGTAAAGTTTGGTTCAGATGTGAGCATGTACACTGAAGTTACAACAACTTCCTGTGTCATGGCGAAGACTTGATCTCTGACGCCACGCCACGGACACACCCATTGACAAAAACTCGCAAATAGCACAACTTTTCATCTTCAATGCCTTTAGAAGGCACAGCACAAATTTGAAGTCGGTCGGACTAAATCCTAGGAGGAGTTCGTTAAAGTACGAAGTGTGTAAATCATCCAAAATTTGACGTAAAATTCAAAATGGCCGACTTCCTGTTGGTTTTAGGGCATTGCTCCAAGAGGCTTTTTTGTGCATCTGGACAAGATACACGTACCACAGAAAATTCGTGCACGTAGGTGAAACGTGCGGCGGGGGCTGCTTCGTTAAAAGTCACTTCCTGTTGCCAGCAGGTGGCGCTATGACTGTGGGTGAATGTCGGCATGTACATGTGTTCAGGGTGGGACTCTCATCCTACATGTACAGTTTGGTCCAGATGTGAGCATGTACACTGAAGTTACGACAACTTCCTGTGTCATGGCGAAGAGCTGATCTTTGACGCCACGCCACGGACACGCCCATTGACGAAAACTTGCAAATAGCACAACTTTTCATCTTCAATGCCTTTAGAAGGCACAGCAGAAATTTGAGGTCGGTCGGACTAAATCCCTTGGAGGAGTTCGTTAAAGTACGAAGTGTGTAAATCATCCAAAATTTGACGTAAAATTCAAAATGGCCGACTTCCTGTTGACTTTAGGCTATGGCTCCAAGAGGCTTTTTTGTGCGTCTGGACAAGATACACGTACCACAGAAAATTCGTGCACGTAGGTGAAACGTGCGGCGGGGGCTGCTTCGTTAAAAGTCACTTCCTGTTGCCAGCAGGTGGCGCTATGACTGTCTGTGAATGTCAGCATGTACATGTGTTCAGGGCGGGACTCTCATCCTACATGTACAGTTTGGTCCAGATGTGAGCATGTACACTGAAGTTACGACAACTTCCGTGTCATGGCGAAGAGCTGATCTTTGACGCCACGCCACGGACACGCCCATTGACGAAAACTTGCAAATAGCACAACTTTTCATCTTCAATGCCTTTAGAAGGCACAGCAAACATTTGAGGTCGGTCGGACTAAATCCCTAGGAGGAGTTCGTTAAAGTACGAAGTGTGTAAATCATCCAAAATTTGACGTAAAATTCAAAATGGCCGACTTCCTGTTGGGTTTAGGCTATGGCTCCAAGAGACTTTTTGTGCGTCTGGACAAGATACACGTACCACAGAAAATTCGTGCACGTAGGTGAAACGTGCGGCGGGGGCTGCTTCGTTAAAGGTCACTTTCTGTTGCCAGCAGGTGGCGCTATGACTGTGGGTGAATGTCGGCATGTACATGTGTTCAGGGCGGGACTCTCATCCTACATGTACAGTTTGGTCCAGATGTGAGCATGTACACTGAAGTTACAACAACTTCCTGTTTCATTGCGAATCATCGACGCCACGGACACGCCCATTGACGAAAACGCGCAAATAGCACAACTTTTCATCGTCAATGCCTTTAGAAGGCACAGCAGAAATTTGACGTCGATCCGACTAAATCCCTAGGAGGAGTTCGTTAAAGTACGAAGTGTGTAAATCATCCAAAAATGGACGTAAAATTCAAAATGGCCGACTTCCTGTTGACTTTAGGCTATGGGTTCTTGAGGCTTTTTTGTGCGTCTTGATACGATACATGTCCCCAGAAAATTTCGTACATGTAGGTTGAACGTGAACGAGGGGCTAATCATTTCCAATTTTCTAGGTGGCGCTAGCGAGTCATTTTGCCACGCCCATGTGCGAAACTTGTAGAATACGAAATTTTTCACCGGTTCTGACATGTTTGCAAATTTGGTGAGTTTTCGAGTATGTTTAGGCCATGTCATTTGGGCCTACTTTGCAGAAAAAAATAAAAAATTAAAGCTGCAAGCAGCGTTGGGCGGGCCCTCGCACTAGTAGCGCGTCCGCGCGTGAGCCGGCCGAGTTGCATATTCTGGAGCTCTGCCGGTGCGGCTGTGAATTTCCTACGCGGTTATGACGCCGCATGAATGTGCTATATGTCACTTCCTGTGTCCCCTATGTGGAGCTACATAGCACTTGCCGCTATGAATATAAATCGGTATTGACGTGTAGATGTCTGCGGGGTGGGAGAGTTATCAAGCACGTAAAGTTTGTTTCAGATGTGAGCATGTACACTGAACAATAATGTACCCAAACAATAAAATAAATTCCTTTTATATTTCCCTGCCTTGTTGTTTATGTGTACATACAGAGGAAGAATGTGAGAACAGCACACATTTCATCGTTACTGTGTGTTAGAGCATGGGAGAACAGTAGATACTTTTAATACAGCCCACACCCCTAATACTGTGTAACTATAACGTAGAGAACAGAAGAAAAAGATGTTCTTTCTTTACAAACTGTCTGCATAGCTTATTCATATTGTGTAATGAATGAAAATAAATAGGCCTACTAGGCTCCTCTCTACTTTGACATTTAAGATTAGCTTGTTTGA